TAATAGCTGCAAATGAATGAATTTTTCGTTGTGCTGCAACAAAACATACTTATACTGATAACAAAATAGAACTCGTACCTACTGAATTTTTTATTACATGGGATATAACAATTTCATAACAATTATCAAATATCTGCTCATAACTGTAATATATTTCATATTAAATATTTAACATTAAGTAACTATTACTAAATTATTTAATTGATGTTACTGTGAATGCAATTACGTCATACTCCCGATCTATTAAATATTTGGTAATTATTATCATATTTAGTATTAGTTACTAAGGATTCAATGAATTTCTGTAACTAAATGCAGTTTGTTATAGTTACCAGTCTTTTCTCTCAGTGTACAGAACACTTTTGTTCGGTTTGACCTAATCTACACGACACATTTGACCTAATCATTATACGTTATGCGACAAATACGAATAGTATATATGAATAAAATGAAGTATGAACCACTTATATAAGAGACGCACGTTTTGCAAATCGATTGTAAAATTGCTGCCGAATTTATGTACACCCGTCTGGGCGTGTCTTCGAGTAAGTAACGAAATCTTCGCTTGCGTAACAATTTCAAACGAATTCGTGTCTAACGGAATCTCCGGGGCCTGTTGGAACGTCAGGTCTCGAGGATAACACGTCATTGAGGCCCGGCGCGGCCACGGGACCATCCTTTACGCTCGCGACCGACAACGGGGGCCCGTACGGATCTAGAGGCCGAGACCGAGGACGGACGTACCGTTTCTCAACGTTCTCAACGTTCTCTTCATTCTCCTCGTGCCGTTACACAAGCGAGCCCGTTATGCGGAGAGAGAAAGTGCCGCTGATGATATTGTGCTCCCCGGGAATACCAGTTATGTCTAAATAAAGATAGCGACGATACCCAGCTAGAACTGGACTTCACTCGCGCGCGCGATTAGGTCTCTTATCACGGCGCCATAGATCAACCTTCTTGCCTTTTAGTATTCTATTTTCTCACTACACCCTTCTCTCACCTTTAATTACTTAACATCCTCCAGACGGGATTCTCTCTTTGCTATTCCGATAAAACAATCGCGACTACCACGCACGCGAGATCAAGAAGCGAGATAAGAGGTACAAAGCGGCTTTCGCGCGATATCTTCCGGTGCGCTCGCGTTTATCGCGTATCACTCTGCGCCGGCACTGGAGGAGAATCCGGTATCGACTTATGAGGGACATCGAGTTATTGCCATGGGGATAACCTTAGAAAAGTAGCATGAGAGTAACTTTTACTTGTACTGGATAGCCTTAAGCGTTCGCCTCTAGTATTTATTTCACTACTGAAGTGGATACTACCGTTTTTTGTGAGATATTAAAGAGATGTGAAGGAATTACTTATCTTTATCTTAATCGTATCTTAGGTTATTACTACTTTTGTATAGTGTGTTAAAGTTTTCAATATGAGTGAAAATTACTCCACTACCTTTCTAAGATGAGGGATTACGACGAGTTTATGTTACTCTCACTAATCTACTAGATCGAATCTACCACAGGATTAATTCTAGAAGAATAGTGTGTGTAACATTGACTCACTAAAAAAAGCTTTAAGCTGCTCCTAGTATTTATTTTATGACCCACTGAAATGGTTATCACTGTTTCTTGTAAAGTATTGAATGAGTAAAAATTATTCATCCCTACCTTAGTCGTATCGTAGGTTCTCGTTATCTTTTTAGGGTTAAGGTTTTCAGTAAGAGTGAAAGTTACTCAGTTAGTTTTCTAGCATTAAGAGTCGCGATGACGTTACGTTGCCCGCACGAGAACCGGATATCTGTACAAGAGACATAGAGTCTTTATATGAATCCTAGAAAGGTAGCGTAACTATTATTTATACTAAAAGTCTCGAGCTCTCCTTCTAACATTTATTTCGCACGGAAAAAAAGGTTTGGTTGAATTAACCAAATATCTGGTCGAATATGAACGATCCAGAAATTCCGATTGAAGTAACCCGAAGTTTCTGTTTAAGTTAACAAGATTTTTGGTTGACTTAAACAGAATTCGGGTTACTTCAATCGGAACTTCTGGATCGTTCATATTCGACCAGATATTTGGTTAATTCAACCAAACCTTTTTTTCCGTACAGCATCCACTGAAATGGATACCACTGTTTTTCTGTGACTTATTATTTAAGTGAATAAAAATTACTCATCTCTATCATGATTATACTTTAGGTTATCATTATTTTTCTAAATTCAGTCTTGTTAAGGCTCCCAGTATAAGCACAAGTTATTCATGCTTCCTTTCTAAAGTTA